GTATATATTAAATTAATAAAAAAAATTATTTTTATAAGATGTTGAATTTCTTTTTTAAATCTTTTGAATAGTTTTCTTTAAATGATAATAGGTACAAATTATAGAAGAAAAAAAGAAAAAAAATTTAATTAGGTCAATCCACGAGTTGACTCGTGACCCGTGATAGACGAGTTAGGGTATGCCTTTATTGACCCGTAACCCGTTTTAACTCAACCCGTTTTAACATGTTATCCGTTCTAACCCGATCATAACTCTACCCAACCCGCCCGTTTACTAGGTCTAGTTAAATTTATATTTAAAATATAAATTTTTATAATTAATTTTATCATTATAAAATATTTATTTTCTTACAGTGTACCATCAACATTTCATTGCCTATTGTATAAAAAAGAAAAAATATATATATTGTATTGACGTTTGCCCAGCCCTTCGGGTGCCAGTTGCTGTCATATCTTTATGTTTTCATGTCTAGACACATTTCACATTGAGGTGAGCTCTAGTCTCTGGACCCTTCTCTCCTGGTATTGTGTCACGCCCCAGAACCCAAATCCGGGGACGTGGCAGACGCCGTACACTCGTGAGACGAGTCCCACAAATGCACAAGGCTCGAAACTTATCAAATTCACACTCTGATACCACCAAAATCTGAAAATCAAATCTCAATATTTGCTCTAATATCATAAATCTCCAATTAAAATCTCCAAATACAAGATCATGATTTAGTTCTAAATCTATGTTCAATCTCGAATTGGCTAGCCTTCTAACTCGTCACTTCCCGTGGTTTCCCGTCCTCGGTTTCACTTCCTGAAATGGTGGACAAAGAAAAACTATGAGATAAACTCAGTAAGTAAAATATGGAGTGCCCTTATTAAACTTATAGCATGCCAACTAGTACAATCACGAAAAACGGATACAGTGCGGGAACGAAATAGACGTCTCCTCTATAGGTCATGGCCAGTGTTTAAACCTCCCACTGGCAGGCAACAGGAGTTGCTAGTGTTTAACTCCCACTAGCAGGATTACAGGAATGAACCGGTTCTATCAGGAACATGTCCACATGTGCTAGCGTTTGACCTCCCACTAGCGGGCAACAGGATAACATGACCGTATCGGAGACAAAACAGGCAGAAGTTAACAGAAAATTCATAATTCACTAATCACTTTCAAATCATCGGGACAATCAATTAAATTCCAAGTAGGCATGCTCAATTTAGTGAAAAGCATAAGACATTTCACTTCAAATCAGTCATGCTCGTGTAAAACGGGTTTAGTCCCGCCACCACTTCAAAAACAAATCAAAACATGCTTTTAAAAACAGTACAGGCATTACCATAAATTTACTTACCTCACTTGCATAAAACTGAGCACTCAATTCACGTACTAAACTGACAGAACGATCAAGAACCTAATCAAAATATTTCAAGAATCAATACCATACTATCACAAATTTACACTGAAATCATCATGACTAATCCCTAATCACAATGCTATTCTTATCAATTTCCACATGATCAAATATATCCAAATTCATTCTTATATCACAAACTAATCATTTAAATCCCCGTTAATTGTTGGCCCTCGGTGTGTGAACAGTGCCCGTGAACAGTGCCCGTGAACAGTAACCACGACGTGAACAGTAACTCCAACTTCCAAACAATGGCCAACCACTAGCTAATCACGGGGTTTTCTCTCCAAAAATCACATAGCAACCAATTAACACTCAATCACATAAATCCCACTTCAATTAAGCTAAATCATGGTCCTAAAGCTATCAAATTCTTCCCCACTTTTCTAGCAAAATTCAGACATACACCGCCAGCAAACTAAATGAATAATTTAAGCCTTAAAAGGGCTGTCACATACCATAATTTAGCAGCCAAAAACTGGACTGCAGTTGGGGGAAGGCCGGCCGCACTCTGCAGAAAATTCAAGGGGAAGCTCACGGGAAATCTACCCAAAAATTGGAGAACCAAGAGAAATCAAGGTTAACCCAAGCCAATTCAAGGAAAAACAAAGGGATTTAAAGGCTGTTCTTACCGAAAAAAATGCCCAGAAATCACCCACAATCAAGAGCAGCTGGCGGAAGGACAAAGCAGAGCAGGGCAGATCCGGCTTTTCCAGCAGGGGGGGGAAGATTTCTGGGTTCTAGGTGTGTTCTAGAGCGAGAAAGGAAGGAGAAAACCAAGCTTATCTCACCGGTTTCTCAAAGGCATGGCTGGGTTCTCTTTCTTTTTCTTTCGAGTGGCTGCAGCGGGAAGAAAGGAGAAGAAGAGCAGAATCGGGCAAGGCTGGGAAGAAAAGAAAGAAAGAAAAAGAAAAAGAAAAGAAGTCATCCTTATCCAAAATCTTTCCCTCTTTAAGTCCCTCAACTTTTGAATATTTTGCCATTAAGCCCCAAAACAGAATTTCCTCACAATCAAGTCCCTAACTCACACTTAAATATTCTAGAAAATTTCGGGGTATCACATATTGACTAGAGGGAAAGGAATCCCGAGGCAGAGAAAAATATCTGAGGAAAGAGAGAGAGATACAATTGTGAATCGTGCGCGAAAAATTAAGGTAAAATCTCGCGTTACGTTATCAAATTTATTTTAAATTTATTTAAAATAAATATTTTAAAATTTTATAGATTAAAAATTATGTAAAAAACGAAGAACAAAAAAAAAGAAAGGAAAA